AAATTCATATGGAATCACAAAAAACCCCGAATAGCCAAAGCTCTCCTGAAAAAAAAAGAAGGGAATGGAGGCATTACACTCCCAGACTTCAAACTATACTACAAAGCCATAATCATCAAAACTGCATGGTATTGGAACAAGAACAGACATACAGACCAATGGAATCGAATAGAAAATCCAGAAATAAATCCACAGATTTATGGTCAACTAATCTTTGACAAAGGAGAAAAGACTATGCATTGGAGCAAAGAAAGTTTGTTCAATAAATGGTGCTGGGAAAACTGGGTCGCTACATGCAAAAGAATGAAGCTTGACCACTACCTCACACCATACACAAAAATCAACTCAAAATGGATTAAAGAACTAGACATAAGACCTGAAACCATAAAATATATAGAAGGAAATATAGGCGAAACACTACGTGATCTGCACATCAAAGACATCTTTACAGACACATCACCCAAAGCAGTGATAGTGAAGGCAAAGATAAACAGCTGGGACTACATCAAATTAAAGAGCTTCTGCACAGCAAAAGAGACAATAACAAAAACAAAGAGAAACCCCACCAACTGGGAGAACATTTTTGCACCCAACACTAATGATAAAGGACTGATCACAAAAATCTGCAAAGAGCTGATGAGACTCAGCAACAACAAAGAAAATAATCCAGTCAAAAAATGGGCAGAAGAGCTAAAAAGAAACTTCTCTGAAGAGGAAATGCAAATGGCCAACAGACATATGAAAAAATGTTCAACATCACTTGTAATCAGGGAAATGCAAATCAAAACTACCATGAGATACCATCTCACACCAGTGAGAATGGCACATATTAAAAAAACTAGCAACAACAAATGTTGGCGAGGATGTGGAGAAAAAGGAACTCTTGTGCACTGTTGGTGGGAGTGCAAACTGGTCCAACCACTATGGAGAGCTGTGTGGAGATTTCTGGACCTACTAAACATAGAGCTTCCATATGATCCAGCCATTCCACTCCTAGGTATTTACCCAAAGGACACAGAAACATCAATTCCAAAGAACACCTGCACCCCTATGTTTATAGCAGCACTGTTTACAATAGCTAAGCTTTGGAAACAACCCAAATGCCCAAAAGTAGATGACTGGATCAAGAAGATGTGGTACATATATACCATGGAATATTACTCAGCATTCAAAAAAGATAAACACATGCAATTTTCAGCAACATGGATGGCGCTGGAAGGGATCATGCTCAGCGAAATAAGCCAAAAAGAAAAAGAAAAATACCGGATGGTCTCACTCATAGCAGGAATCTAGAAAACTTAAATAAGGGACCAGGAAAATGAATAACTATAAGAAAGTGAATATCAAAATCAACAAAAAACTATGAACCAGAGACACTTTTAGGGGGGTGGGGGCGGGAGGGGAGGGATTGGGGTCAGAATGGGGGGGCTGCAATTGTATGGGGAATATAACAATAAAATTTATAAAAAAAAAAAAAAAAAAAAAAAAAACAAAAGAATACCTGTACTCCTGTGATTATTGTAACACCACTTATAATAGGTAAAACCTGGAAACAACCCAGATGCCCAAAAATAGATGACTGGATCAAGAAGATGTGGTATATATACACAATGGAATGTAATTCATTGTAATTCATTGTAATTTAATGTATTCAGCAATCAAAAAAAGATAAACTCATGCCATTTGCAGCAACATGGATGGAGCTAGAAGGGATTATGCTCAATGAAATAAATCAGAGGGAAAAAGTATAATTTTGCATGGTTTCACTTATAGGAGGACTATAGTGGAACCAAATAAGACATCAGGGGAAAAATAATAACAATACAAAACACAATACAACAAAACAAAAACAAACAGACAATTATAAATCAGAGCCATCCTGCAGGGGAGAAGGAGGGAGAGGGATTAGAGGGAGTGAGGGAGGAGCACAGGGGGCTGTGGTGATGGTGCGTGGGTAAATTGGTGAAGGAAATTCTATGGGGACTACACCCAAGAGGGGGAGCGAAGCAAACATTGTTTAAAAATGAACAATGATGTAATATATATATATATATATATATATATATATATAAATAAAAAATAAAAAAGTTATGCCTTGGAAGAATTAACATTGTTAAAACAGCAACTTTCACAAAGTAATGTACATATTTAATGCAATACTTACCAAAATTGGAATGCCATTTTCAAGGAAATAGACAAACATTACTAAAGTTTGTACAGCACCACAAAGACCCTGAAGAGTAAAAGTAATTCTGATAAAATAGAAGAATAATGGAGCTATTGGGCCTCAGACTTCACACTATACCACAAAGCAATAGTAATCAAGTCAGTATGTATTGCTAAAGAATTTCTTAATTCTCTTGCTAGGACTTCCAATATTATATATGCTGAGAGCAGACATTCTTTTCATATCTGACCTTAGAGGGAAAGATTTCAGTTTTTCACCACTGAGAATGGTATTAACTGTGGATTTATTATATATGGCCTTTATTATGTTGAGACATGTTCCTTCTGTCCCCATGCTATTAAATTTGATCATAAATGAATGTTGAATTTTGTTATGTTTTCTCTGCATATGTTGATAGGACCATAAAATTTTTCTCTTTCCTTTTGTTCATGTTGTGGATTACATTGTTGAGCCATCCTCCCATCCCTGGAATAAATCCCACTAGATCATGATATACGATCCTTTTGATGTACTGTTGAATTAGGTTTGCTAGAATTTTTATTTGGGATTTTGCATCTATGTTTATTAGGGATACTTGTCTATAGATTTTTTTTTGGTACTATCCTTTTATTCTTGTAAGCTTTTGGTAATATTTTGGGATTATTGTTTCAATTTCCTTGCTTTTCAGTTTTCTTGCTTGTAATCAGTCTGTTTGGATTTTCTATTTTTTCTGATTTAGTCTTGGAATGTTGCATTGCCAGATTCCAGCTCCCATGAACAGGGTTGAGAGAGGAATCCAATTGAGTGGAGGAAATTATCAAGAAATGACAGACACAAAATAAAGTTTAAGAGAAGCGGGACCCAGGGGACACAAGGGCTCTCATTCCCGCTCAAGCATCCCCAGTGCCCTGAGCAACTCGTTTTTATTGATACAAGCAGTCCCCTCCCTCAGGTTAGTTACTAGACAATTAAGTATTCTCTTAGCAGTTTACCTGGTGCCAGCACACATTCACCACCAACGTTCTGCGCTATCAGGTTATTCTGTTTCTTTTTCTAATCTAGTTTGACCCCCAGACATAGCTTCACAGACACAAGAAAGAACATCAGGGTAGTCCTCCCACCTGGGCTGATCAGTTTTTTAGCCACAACATTCATGTTTTCCTGTCTCAGCACTGCATGCCTTAGGGGTCTCCAACATTTTATGATTCTAAGAATTTATTTATTATAGATTATCCAGTTTATTTGCAAAAAGATGTTCCTAGTAGTTTCTTATGCTCCTCTCCATTTCTGTGATGCCTATTGTAACTTCTTTCATGTTTCTCATTATGTTTATTAGCATTTTCTCCATTTTTTAGTAGGTCTAGCTAAACATTGTCTATTTTATTTATTTTTCAAAGAACCCGCTTTTAGTTTCATTGATCTCCATATTGTCTTTTTGGTTTCTATTTTGTTCATTTCCACTCTATTTTTACTATTTCCTTCCTCCTAGTGACTTTAGGTTTCATTTGTTTTTCCTTCTCTAGTACCCTACAGGGTAAGGTTAGTTTCTTTATTTGAAATCTTTGTTTCTTGATGTCATCTGCTCTGTCTTATAGGTCTGATAGATCTTGTCTTCATCTTTCTTTTTTGCTTTTACCTAGATATTTTTAGTTGCTCTTTTGATTTCCTCATTAACCAATAGTGGCATATTATTTAGACTCCACATGTTTGATGTTTTCCTCACTTTACTTATATGTTATATTTGGTTTCTAGTTTGATAAAATTGTGATCAGAGGATATACTTGATATGATTTCAATCTTCTGGAATTTATTGACACTTGTTTTGTGACTCAACATGTGGTGTATAATAAGTTCCACATGAACTTGAGAAGAATGTATACTCAACTTTTTGCAGGTGGAGTGATCCACATATGTCTATTCAGTCCTTTTGGTCTGTTTCTTCATTTAAAGGCATTGTTTCCTTGTTGGTTTTCTTTGTGGTTGATGTCAGTCAATTGTTGAAATCCTCTACTACTATTTGTGTTACTGTCAGTATCTGTATCTGTGTTTAAGTCTATTAATAGTTGCTTATATATTTTAATATTCCTTCCTTGGATGCATCTATATTGATGACTGTTAGGTCTTTCAATGTAGTAAACATTTTTTTTAAAGATTTATTTATTTATACAAGAATTGGGGCACCGGCCAGAGGTACGGGAGGGTGAGAGAATTCACCAGAGGCAGAGCAGGGAGCAGAACAGGCAGACGGACCAAAAACGCTGCTGAGAGGAGCAGCGTGGAAGACAGGAGAGGTCTGCCAGGCCATGTGGGTAGCTCCCTGGGCGGCCAGAAATTGAACCTGCACTGCAGAGACTGCGGACAGCTTCACAGTGCTGCATTCAACCCACTGTGCCACTGGGAAGGCCAAACTCTTAATCATTATATAATATTTATTTCTTTCTCTTGATAGCTTCTTAAGCTAGAAGTCTATTTTTACGAAATAAGTATGGCTATCCCTGCCTTTTTTAGGGCACCAATGCTTTTCTGCCTTTCACTTTAAACCTGAGCTCTTGATGAATCTCTGATGTAATAATGTGTATATATTGATGGTGTAGAAGTTAAAGCAAACTAAAAAATTGAGCACATTTATTTTTCTCAGCTTGTACAGAAAGGAAGTGCAGATTTACTATTAGGGGATTCTTGTTTCTTCTTCTATTTATGTAAAGTGGTGCTGGCATGTGACTTCTGACCCTAATTTCCGTAACCCTTTGACTAGGTGCTGCCTTTTGACTCTGAAGTAAGTTCTTTTTTTGATGAAAGGGCATCTCCAGTTGCAGCACCCAACCTAGTCCTCATGCTGCTGAAGTTCTTGCTGTTGATCTGTGGTAAGTAGACCACCCAGAGCAGGGTGTGGGAACCATCTGCTGGTGCCCCACATCCTGGAGAGCTGTGGGAGCTCTGAGGGTTTTGCTTGGCAATGCTTAGGGATGCTCAGATAGTCACCTCCAACTAAGGGTTCAGAGTCAGACAGAAAGTAGTAGAGTGGAAGGCCAGATTTTTGAGAAAAATTGTCATTTTAACTTCACTGTCCATCTCTCCACTATTAATTCTGATTTTAATATTTCCAGCTCACTTTCTCTGACAATCTATCTCCAAATGTCTTCAAATTCCCAAGATTATTTTCCCTTATCAATTACTACACTCCATTTCCTTGCTTCTCACAGCACTCAGCTTACATTCAGTAATCCATCACAATATGCCCTGGATACATCTTCATCTCTCTTTGCTTAACGGTTTTCTCCTGAGATGAAGTACATCTTTCTACTTGTTTCACTCCCGTGTTTGTATGGTGTGACTTTAAACAAGTGGCACAATCTTTATAACTTATCACCTTTAACTGTAGGACCACCTGCCTCAGGTGGCCACGAGGAGGTAATTCTACACATTCAGGGTCTGTGCTCTCCCTTCTGATGGCCACTACTTTACATTCCTTTCTCCTCAAGCTTCACAGTTCTTACTCTCATTTTTTAAACTTTGCTTCATATTTCACTGAAAAAATCTAAGTAATCATAGGATAATTTCCTCATCTTTCTCCCGTAAAACTTATCCACCTGCCCTCCCCTCCACTGTATTCACACACCCTCTTTCCTCCCCCCATCATCAGAATAGTGCCCTCACTCCACCGAAGACATGAATCTCCATTTGTGCTGGTCCCCTCTTTCTTGCTGGCTCCAAACCCTTGTTACATTGTTAAAATGTTTCAACATTTGTCTTTAGTCCCATAAATATACAAACATGCTATACTATCTTCTTAATTATTTATTTTTGATCGAGGTGGCATTGTTTTACATTGCTGTTTGTATTTTGGAAGCACCCCCCCCCATCCTAGGTCATCCTGCTCCCTCCCCACTCCCGCTTGCCCACACACAGGGAAGGTGAGGGTGGGAGGCTTGTCTAGCCTTAAAGCCTTGAACCCCAAGGCAACAGTATATGTTTTAACTTAAAGTAATAAAAATGTGACCTGATGGTGTCCTTCCATTTACTTAATCTTTTTCCTGTCTCCCCGTATACGTTTTTCAAGAGTTAATGTTTTTCACTTTCTCTTTCCATCCTTTTTTTTTCAAAATTAACTTTAAGTTTATATTATAGTAAGAGACTTTTTTTAATATATCATCTACTTTTTTAAAAAAATCTATGGTTTTTGACAAAGATTTTCAGTGATGTGGCCACTAGCACACTCAATACAGAACATTTCTATCACATCAGAAATTCCCTCATGCCCCAGATCTATTTGCAGTCAACTCCTCCCCCACTCACAACCCCTGGCTTCTAGTAGCCTCTTACAGGGCCTTAAAATTCTTTCTCATACTGTCTTGAGCCCACTACAATATTTCATTTCCATCTTCATTGAAAGAGCTCTTGCTAATATCATCAAACTCCCATATGTTTTCCTTGTTTAGGATTCAATTTTCATTTTATTCAAATTTTCAGGGGTATTTGACATAGTTGATCACCCTCTCCTAGAAAGACTTTTTCTCTTAACTTCTGGAATGCCATATTCTGTTGAGTTTTTTCCTAAACAATGCCTGCTGCTTTATTGACCCCCAAATGTTTGACTTCTCCAAGATTGATACCTAGACTTCTTCATCTACAATCACTTTCCAAAGTCATACAATCTAGTCACTTTACTGCCACTTTAACTGTTTGAGCTCAAGCTTTGATTTCTCCTTTGAATACCATTCATGTATTCAACTGCCATCAGTTGTCTAATAGGCATCTTAAATTCAACATGTCCAGGGGCTCCCCGGTGGCGCAGCGGTTGAGCGCTGGGTTGCGAAGCTGCCCGCAGCCTCTGCAGCGCCGGTTCGATCCCCGGCTGCTCCCCGGCCACCGGAGGAGGGTCCCACATGGCGCGCAGACCTCTCCTGCCGCCCGCTGCTCCCCTCAGCAGTGTACTTCGGTCCTTCTGCCTGCACTGCTCCCCGCTCTGGCTCTGGTGAATTCTCTCACCCTCCCGTGCTTCTGACTGTACCCAGTGCATGTATAAACAAAACAAAACCAAACAAACAAATAAATAAATAAAATAAAACATGCCTCTATTAAAAAAAAAAAATTCAACATGTCCAAACAGGTCCAATCCACTAGCACCACCACTAACACCTTAACTTATTTCTTCCCACAAAATCTCCTCTTCTGTAAATGTCCCCACCATTCTTCAATTGCTGTGACCAAGAATCTAGGAGTCATATGTTATTCATCTTTTTTTATACACAGTTTTCATCTGATTCAAAAGCAATTCCCATTGATTCGACTTTCAAAATATGTACTGAAATCTGGCCACTGCACAGCACCAGTGCTGCTTAATCTGAGTGATCACCTTTGCTCTGCCAGTGTAATCTCCCATTAATGTTCTCCCTGCTTCTCTTGCATATCTATAGGCTGTTCTCACAATGTAAGAGTGATTTTAAAAAATGTAAATTAAGTCAGAACTGTCTGTAGCTCTCCATTATGTCTAGAATGAACTCCAGAACTGTTAAAAAGTTCACAAGTACCCGCATGCTGCCTCTGACCTACATCTCACACACTAATGTCCATCACTGACACCCACATCCCCCACATACACACCTGGTCACCTTCTCATTCCTCATTGGACAAACTCATTTCTTCTTAAAGTCTTTGCATTTTCTGTTTCCACGTTAGGGATGTTCCTTCCCAAACATTTGGAAGACTTGCTCTCTGATTTCATTTACGTTTCTGCTCAGTTGACGTCCATCATGTTGATACCATGAGTCAGTTAGAGAAGAGTTAGATCATCAAGCTTCTGAGAAGAGAATGAGTTTTTTGAAGAAGGAAATTGCAAAGTAGTTACAGAATAAAGGCAACACCTCCTCATCATAGAGGAGAGAAGTTATTGGAAATTTCTTTGTGATCATACAATGACACTACATGCTGTTTTCTGGATAGGTAAGGGAAGGAATGTGGAATGGGACAGGAACAGAGAAAAAGAGAAAAAGAAGGGAGGAAGGAAAGAAGGGGAAGGTGAGTGAAGGGGGAGAAGAAAAGACAGAAGGAGGAGAAAGAGTAAGGACAGAGCTTCTGAGGAAAGGAGCGGTGCTGGGAGGGCACAAGGGAAGGGGTGTGTTGCTAGGAAAGCTCCCCAGGGAGTAAACATCACTTAGGCTTTGGGATTTGCTACTCTGTACTAATGTCTGCTGGTTTCCCTCCCAGCTCCACTCTGTGAACCAACTGGTGAGTTGCACTTCTTTTTGTTCTTCACTCTCTGTGAGTATCTTGTATGTTGGGCCCATGCAGGAAGCCAGGGATGTCTGTGTGACCGCTGACAGCTGCAGAGGCACACAGCTGTCTGCAGTCCCCCGCGCCTAGATTGCTTCTGTCCACATCAGATTCTGAACTTCACGGGTGTCTGCTCTGTTGGGGGAGCAGATCTTATTCTGACCTTCTCAAGACCACAGTCTTATTTGTGGGAAGTCCTGGCTTAGGGAGAAAGAGGCTGCCCAAAGAGAGTGCTGAAGGCTGATGTTAGAAGAATCTTTGTCTTTATAATCTCAGAGGCTGTAAGTTCCATGTGTGATTGCCAGCTGGGTACTTTACCAGGGCAGATGCAGGAAATGCCAAGGTCATGTCCAAGAACATCATTGCAGTTAGTCCTTAGGCCACATGCAAAATGAAGCAGTGATGCGGCCACATTCTTATTCATAGCTCTGCAGCCACATCTGTTACCCCAGTATGCTTTCTCTCAGACTCTGAGTTACGCAAATTTGCTTCATTGCTTTGATCCTGATTCAGTCTTACCTTTACCTGATGAATAGTGTAGGAAATTTTTCCCCACAAGGAATCTATCACTAAAGTGTGTTTAAATGCAAGATATATGAGACCTGCTCTCTAGTGCATAAACTGTTAACACAGGATTAAAAAGATTATCCTGCAGCCTCAAGAACACTGGCTGTGTATGCAACTAGGAAATACAGGACTAGGAATTCATGTAACCAGAGATACTCAGAACTGACTCAACCTTCTGGGCCCCACATCTGATGTTTGTCCATCTGATGTTTGTCCCAGCATCTGATGTTTGTTCATACCTTGTGCTGACATTGTGCATGCCTGTGCTTGGCCCAGCTTTGGCCCCTGAGCCCACACATCCAGTCCCAGCCTAAGCAGAAATCTAAAGCCACATCAAGGATGAAGAAACAAAGTATCTGCCACCAAGATTTTGACAGGTAGTCACTGGGTCTGAGAATTTCTGATAGAAGATCTGAGCTACAAGTTCCAGTGCCAGACTCTTGCAACTGCCCTTTCCTATATCCTGCTGCATCCCACCCTGGCCCCATCCAGAAGAAGGGGTTGCAGGCACAGAGATGTTTTTATTCCCTTCTCTGCTCAGCACCAACGCTGTGCTTTTCCATCTCTGGGGACAACTGTTTTCTAAGGAGAGAAAGGAGCTCTAACTTACAGGGTATTCATAACCCAGTACAGAGCAAACATTCTGGCATTGTCATTGGAATTGATTTTTTTTTAAGTCCCAGGGTAAAGCATTGCAACAGGGAAGCTTGGAGGTTATGGCTATTGGAGCATGAAGCACCCTTCAGTGATCTAGAACATGTAACATTTCCAATGGATGCAGAAAAAGGTTTTCTTAGCAATTGTGTCAAAATTTCCCAAAGAGTTAGATAAACAAGTACCCAAAGAGTCAATGCTATCAGGACTTTTGATATTTCATGGGCTGCAGCTGGGAGATAAGGAAATGAGGTGAAAGCAGAATACAATTTTACCCATTCTTAATTCATCTAGAAAAGAATCTCTGTGGCTTAAAGGGATAGTTCTCTGAGTCATAAGGTATGGAATAAATTTGCTCCTTATAAATATGGTTTTTATAGAAGAAGTTGCAAGGGAGCTGGGTGCATGGATGTGTGCACACAGGGCTTTTCCAGGCAAGTGCACACCTATGCCTCCATTCTAAATGGTGGTAATAGTGAAACTCCAGAGAGTAACAGCCAATTCAAAGGTAAGGGTTGTCTTCTGGAAGGAGGTAATGCTGCAAAGGGCAGGGTGTGCTGGGGCTAAGCTGCTTGCAAAAAAACCGCTCCCGGGCCACTTGTGAGGGTGGTAGGAGGGGTGGTTTGTGTGTCCGGCTGACTGGCTCTTTGAGTCTTGTTTCACTGCTGAAAACACAAAGTGCCTCTTACAAGTAACTGAATACCATGCCCTGGAATATGTGTTCAATTCTTGTCTCTAGTGGTGTCTCTGACCGCCAGCCCCTCTCAGCCCGTGGAGGGGAACTTAGTGACCCTGACGTGTACGGTCCAGCTCCCACCACAGAAGTCGGACGCCCAGCACCTGTTCAGTTTCTACAAAGATGGCCACACCCTGGGGCCAGGATGGACCAGCTCCTCAGAGCTCCAGATCACTGCCATATGGAAAGCAAGCTCAGAGTCCTACTGGTGTAAAGTAAGGATAGAGAGATCCAGTAAACCCCTGTGGAGCAAGCGTGTCCAGATACGTGTGCGGAGTGAGTGCCATGGGCCCGTGCAGGTGGGCGGAAGGGCAGACCGCGAGGGTGGTCTTCCCTGACTGCTGTGTTCTGCTCCTGCAGCAATAGGAGCTGTTTGCAAGATGCCTGAGCATCTCCCTTTGTGAGTCCTGAAGGGCTCTTCCCTTATCCTTGCTATTCCCATGTAAACATAATCCACGGTCTCTAATTTCGAGAAGTTGCTCAGTGTCACCCGAAACAACTCGGGTGTAATATGTGGTGATGTCCAGTGTTGACCACAGAGCAGGGAGAAAGCTGACCAGGCAAGGAGGCGAGAGCAGCCCTTGTGGAAGAGGCCACGGGGGAAGGGCTGAATGAAAAGTTATTTTGAGAGATAAAAGTAAGAGGGTGTCCTGAGACTCTGAGTCATGTCATTCCATGTCAGTGACACTTTCGACATCCTCTCCCATTCTCAGACAAAGAAACATCATTGTGCCTTAGAGCAAATGTCCAGACCTCCTGAAGGCTGGGCGTCCCATACTGGCTCCCAGCTTGGCCACAGCACAAGCCGTTGGACAGGCAGCAGGCCCAGTTCTAGAGCTTTGCACAGTGTTTAGCTGAACTCTCGCACCAAGAAGGGCACTATCACTACCCTCCCTGGTTCTCAGAGAAGTTAAGTGACTTGAACAAGCACACACAGTAAGAGTTGGAGGCAGCATTCAAACCCAGGCCATTTGATTTGCAATCTGGGCTTGAAAGCACTCTGCTATTGCTCCATGGACAAGGACAGCATGACTGGTCCAGTGATCTGCGAGTCACTGAGTTGGGCAGGAAGGTGAGTCTGCATCCTCCTGGTGAGGTTATGGTGTCTTCTTTTTTTTTTAACTTATTTTTTTATTTTTATATTCCCCATACAAAATCAGTTGCAACCCCCTGATTTTGACCCCAATCCCTCCTTTCCCTGCTCCCCCCCTCAAGTGTGTCTCTGGTTCATAGTTGTTTATTGATTTTGATTTTTTTTTCTTTCTTATAGTTTTTCTTTTTCCTGGTCTCTTATTTAGGTTTTCTAGGTATTTTTCTTTATCTTTCTGGCTTATTTCGCTGAGCATGATCCCTTCCAGCTCCATCCATGTTGCTGCAAATTGCATGTGTTCATCTTTTTTGAATGCTGAGTAATATTCCATGGTGTATATGGACCACATCTTCTTGATGGTTATGGTGTCTTCTTACCCAGCCCATCAGCCCAACTCGTGCCACTCCAGCTCAGCATTACGCGACTGACTTTACCTGAGGCTGTTCAGAACTGTCACACCTCCCATCTGTCCTTAACACCCTCCATGCTCAGGGTTCTCCTCTGTCATCTTGTGTTCATGCAGGAATCCATGTCTCTAATGTGAGTTTGGAGATTCAACCTCCAGAGGGACACGTTGTAGAGGGAGAGAAGCTGGTTCTCATCTGCTCAGTCCCTGAGGGCACAGGAGACATCACCTTCTTCTGGTACAAAGGGAGCCTGGGTTTAAACATGGGAAAAAAGACTCAGCGTTCACTGAGAGTGAAGTTCGAGATCCCTGCAGTGAGAGAGAGTGACACTGACCAGTATTATTGTGCAGCGGACAATGGCCAGGGCCCCCGCCTCAGTGAGCTGGTGAGCATCACCGTCAAAAGTAAGTTCTGTTTTGTTACCTTTCTTACCTTCCGATCAGCCAGCAGGTTGCAAACTGGGCACCATGTTCCCTAGGGAGGACGTTCCATGGGGTTGAGCCTGTGTGGGAAGGGGTTCTGAGTCTGTCACATCATCAGAAACCCTCTCTGACGGTGTCCAATCTCCCTCAGTTCCAGTGTCCCACCCTGTGCTCACTCTCCGGGCCCCCGCCCAGGCCATGGTGGGGGATGTGGTCGAGCTTCACTGTGAGGCCCAGAGGGGGTCTCCCCCGATCCTGTACTGGTTTTATCATGAAGATGTCACCCTGGGGAGCAGTTCGGCTTTCTCTGGAGGAGGAGCGTCCTTCAACCTCTCCCTGACCGCAGAACATTCTGGAAACTACTCCTGTGAGGCTGACAATGGCCTGGGGGCCCAGCGCAGTGAGGTGGAGACACTCAACATCACAGGTATAGCTCAGGCCATGGAATCATCTGGGTTAGTATCCTGTTCTAGCATCCTGGGAAATTTTTGCCAGTCCCACAGTGTTTCTGGTCTATCTTACCAAACACAGAACTTCTGTGGGTAGTGTTGACCTGGGAGATGTTCCCAAGGCTTTGACCTCAGCTCACACTCAGCTGTTTGCTGTTCAAACCCAAGCCCTCTTCCTGGCAGCTCATGCCACGTCTCTCCCCTCAGGGCCTGTCGGGGACAAAAGAGGCCTTCTTCCCTCAGGAGTCATTGAGGGGCTGCTTGGCATCATGGGTCTCACCACTGTAGCCCTGTTATTTTGCTGCTGCTGGCTCAAGAAAAGAAAAGGTTAGTATTTAAAGATACTGTCCTTTTGTTCCTGTGACCTTTGTTTTTATTGAAATAGGCTGAATTTGTGGCTGCATGCTAGGGGATGATTGTGCAGTTGTCACCCTTCTTGCAGGTCAGTCACAGCCCCCCTGTGTAGGCAGGGCACCTATTACAGTGTTTCTAGTACAGTTCTCCACCTCCATGTGTTATCAGTTGAGGTTCAACTGATAGCTTATATTTCTGTGATTTAATTTTTATACAAAGATGTAACTATTGAAAACAATGAATCAGTCACTAGAAGAGAAATGCAATCAGCAATTTCAGTGTTACTGACCATCTCTCAGTCAAAGCCATGCATCAGTTCTTATTCATCATGGATTATTGTCATAAAGGTTTCCTTCTCCCTGGAATGCTTATTTACTCATCCACATAGTCTACTCATTGCTGAATCTTTCCCATTGTTCAGCATAAATGTCATTTTCTCCAAATTGCTCCCTGACCACAAAGCCTACAATTTACTATTTTTCCTCATCAGAGAACCTAGTTAGTCTCATATTTTATCACAGTAGCAACCACATATTTATTTGCATGTTTACTATGGGTCTTCAGTTCTCCACTGAGCAAGCTGGAGATGGGGCAAGAAAAGTCAACACGAGATTCTCAAGTAAATTCCAAGTTTTTCCTACATCATTGGACACCTCACCCCATCTCTAGCGTGACCACAGCAGCACCTACCTCTGAGGACTCCTGCCATGATAAGATCGGGCAGTGTAGTTTGAAACCAAAAGCAAGTATGATAATTGGCACAAGGGTGAGACTCAAGTCCTCATTCTCGTATTAACTGTCCTTGGGAATCTGGCTTAACTGTTGGGCTTCTGTTTCTTCATCTGCAAAATGAAGGATCTGCCTAAATGTTTGCCAGGATGGCCTCTAGACTGTCTGGAGATGGGTGTCCTGGTGCAAGCGTGGGCCCTGATGGGGCTCTGATGGCACCCATAGCCCCTGCACTGACATGTCTGTCCATTTGTTTGATTTGCAGAAAGACGTCCAGTCATACAGCCACGCAGGTGAGGCCTCTGCTTTCTTCACGTGCACCTGTAAGGCAGAACAATCCATTTAAAAAATAGGAATTGCCCTCTTTCATGAACTTTTATTCTCCACATTTTGTTATATCAAACATTGTCTTTCCAGAGTTCTCCCACTGATAATTTTGATCATTCATTTGCTATTCCTTGTATTTCATATGTTAACTAATTAATTTAAATTCGTTCTTCATCATCCTTCCCAATTTATCTCCTTCCCTAGCTCTGCAGTATCAGGTGGTTACAGAACTTTGGCCAGCTGCTTGCATTCATTCACACAGCTAACCATTGTCTGGGGTCTGTAAGTCATTCTGGTGGATGATGAAAGCCATGTGGCGATGCAATGTCTTGAGAGTCTCAGAGATCTTGAGTAGTTAGGATCTATGCGCACTTCTGTAATGAGGGCCAGGGAGTCATAAACATTGAGGAAGTTATTTGGAAGCTTAGGGGAGGAAAGGATTCTCAAAATATTTCCACCCAGAGATATCAATGTTTAGTTGATGTATTTTCATAGTATGTAATTGTTTATGCCAACAAGTTGCTTGTCTCCAAATCAGAGTGGTGCTCTTTCAGGCCCAGGGACAGGCCTACCACTATCTTCTGGTCTTTCCTCAAGCTCTTGCTATGCCTTGTTTCCTGGGGTGGGTCAGTATTTCTTCATTACTGAACCCCTGATGTGTGAATGGTATTATTCGAGGCAAGAACAGTAGTATGAGTCAGTCAGATGAGGACCTTGCACCTGTGGAATGTGCAGTGTAGTGACAATCTGCTCAGCTTGGGGTAGGGTTGTGGCTTGTACCTTACAGCTGTGTCAATGGCTGATTTTTCCATAAATTAGCATTCACCTTAAGGCCCTTTCTAACAGACTTCTCTTCTTCTACTTCATAATCCCAGAGAGTAATGTCTGGGACATCTGGGAGGCTTTCCCAGACAGGTAGCATGCGTTTCTGTGTTTGCAGGAGCCCTTCCAACACTGTACCACAAGAAATCACCTACCTCAACTCACCTGTCCCAGAGCAAAGACACCCTGTATACCAAAATGGTGAGGCTTTCTGACTGACTCTGGGCCAAGGTGGGAGGAACAAGCTGGGGAAGGGAGTTGGGGTGACTTCTGCTGACCCTGCTGTGCCCCACACACCTCCGAAGGTGACTCCTCTGTCTATGTTTATGATAGTGGCAGAAAGAAGGGACTGTCATGGAGCCTTCTTTTTTCTCTTTCAGTGAATGTTGTGAGTGGGGATGAGGTGTACTCACTGGTATACCATATGCAGCAGGCGTGTCCATCAACAGCAGGTGAGACATGGGGGAGTGAATGTGTCTCTCCCTTTTGCCTTTCTGGAACCAACAGGATCATCAGTGGCTGTGTATGGCAGTATGGCAGGGCTCCTTAGCCCAGCTGTTGCTTTTGCCCTTGGAGCCAACTGTGAGCATTGCTGTGTCTGTCTGAAGGCTGCCCTTGGTCTGGAGGTGACCTTTAAGAGTTCAGTGATGATGCCGATGGCCTCCTGTCTGTCTCCCTCCCCAGAGTCATGGCCACTTTGGAGGTGGGGCTGCTGTTTAGTCCCTTGAGCTCCCCTCCCTTTGCATCCTGTAGCCCCCATCACAACATGAGTTGCTATTCTATCCCATACGTGGTGGTCTAGAAATGTTGAGGTGTAAATCTCATGAAGAACCTACTTAGCCCCCAGGTGGCCAATTTTCCTTTGTATAGTAAGAAAAACATATTGATGATAGGTAGATAGGTAGAGAAGAGAGACAGAAAATATGAATGGAAATCAATCCATGGGAAATAGGAGAGGACGAACCCTTTATTAATACAAATTGAGTGAATGACTTGAAGTGAAATCTTATAGCATAACCTTTTCTTCCATAGCGGAACCCCCAACGACTCATAATGGATATAAGGTAAGTTAGAGTCCCTATTATTATTTCTCCCTTTCTGTTTCTTCTGGCAACAGGTTCTTAAACTTTTAAAATTATGCCATTTAGGAAAGACAAAAGAACACATGTCTATCTACTCTATTATCCCCCCTTCCATGTATAATGTGGATAAAAACTTTGATAATAACAATCAATAACAATAACTGTACAAGGATATTTTGGAGGCTTACATTTCCTTTAACAGTGGGCATGACTGGTAGACTACAGTGTATGCTCAGTCTAAAATTTCTGTTTGTTTGACCATCATCTTGAAATACCATTGAACCACACATATATCTCTTTGCATGGTGAGGTTAACCAAACAACCTGCAGAAACTAAATTCATATTGAATGAAAGTTAAACTAATAGTGATTTGTATCATAAGAATCAGTAATTTGTAAACCTTGGACAATTAGAAACATCATTGATGATACAAAAATACTCTTGGAAAGTTGCAGCTATTTCATCTCTGCTATGTGCAAGGTTGGGGGGGTGCCTTGCCATTTTGTCTACTGTGGGGAGGCACAGAGCCAGATGTCTCAGGACAGAGTCCACATGGCTTGTGAACTCCAGTGACGTGCTAAATTTAATTGATGAACACAAAAGTCTGACAGCCTTCTAAATGGCAGTCACAGGACTGCCTAGCTGTCTATGAGAGTGAGAGAAGGTGTTATGTTTGGTCAGCTTGCAGCCTATCAGGATCAATACATAGTCCACCAGTGGGGTGAAGGTTGTTGAAAATGTAGGCCTAGTCTGACCACAGTCTGCCAGGGGCCCCATTTTGTGTGCTGTGTACCATTAAAGTGTTAACAGGCAGATCGGGGGCACCGTAGGACTCCCAAACCCACCTGCTGTAAGTGGGATCTGTCATCAGCCACTTAAGAACAAAACATACTCTTAGTGGTAAGACCGTCAACAAAACAGAACTTTTATCCAATTAGTGTGCAATGAAGAGAAGAGAAGGAATATGGTTAAAATAGTTTCCACTTAAACACCCAAAGTTACCCATCCCCTTGTGGGTATATGCCCCCAAACAGGGTAGGTTTTAAGCAGGCCTACTAAGGCCTGAAAACTTGCCATAAGTCTAAGGCTCCTTCTGACTGGGAACCATGCAGAAGGAGCCAGGCAAGTTTGGAAGGAAAAGAGCAACATCAAAATACAAGTCAAGTTAAAGGCTGCTATTGCCAGTCTCCCCTCGGGTCTCTCACCCACATCTCTGTCTCTTTCAAGTGTCTCCTTCCATGTCCATCAAGTCCCTGGTACAAATCCAAGGCCACGAAGCAAGTGTGGCTTCTTCACATGTCTCTCTGCTCCATGTACCACTTCCAAGTCTTCTTCCTTCTCCTTTTCACCTTCTCTCTCAAGTGCTTTTTAGTTTCCATTCTAGCTTCTCCTCCCTGCTCAGTTCCACCCTTCATTGGGTGGGATAGGGAACCTGGAACTTCCCCTTTCTGTGGCTATCAAACTGTTACAATCAGATTCCTTCAGGCTGCTTGGGGAAAACAGTGGTACAGACTTGGCCTACATGTCCGCCTCTTCTGGTCTTATTTATGTACCTTTCTTCTAGGACTCAGCCGTTTATTCTAGGTTGAAGAAGCCAAACTTTACAGACGTGGACATTACAGACGTGGACTATGAAGATGCTATGTAGAATTATGGAAGCATATCTCTTTGGAAACCATCCAACACTACACTTCAGAACCAATGTGTTCTTTAAAGAACTGGGGGTCAGATTTCTAGAATACTTCTTCCAGATGCTTTCCTCCACAAAACTATTCCTGCATCTGTTAGGAGGTGAATTTAGTGCAAGCCTGGAAATACCACCCAAATAACTGGAAATACTAACACAGATAACAAGAGTGGGAGGACTTTGGTACCAGAAACTGATTCCTGCTGATTCTTTCAGTGAAGGTCAAAATGTGCTCTAACTCCTCACTACAAGAGGAACAGGATGGAATAAAAGAACCTGGAATCTTGGGACAGAGAGACAGTGAAACTTAGGGCATAGAAACATATGGCCAATGATTTTGCGGGATTGTTTCATAGAAAGCTTTGTCCATCACTTAGTTCAAGGGTCTTCTCTACTCAGCACAGAACACCAGCTCAGGTACTTACATTAATCATCCTGTTTTTATGTAAAATATGTGACTTCCTGCATTTTGATTCACTATTACCAAATTAGAATTAAAACAAAGTTACAAAAAGGTTATTGTGCTCACACTCAATTTTAGTGACATATTGTATACACAACAGCCCATCTAGATATCCCCAAGTTTAATAATGAAATGATCTCGGTGCCACCATGTTTATAATGAGATAGAATCTATAAATTTCACCACAACCAGAGTTCTGGTGGCACTCGCAAAAAGCTTTATGAATATATATTTTTTTTTTTATTCACAAGCATTTTTGAAGATGCGATTGGTTTGGAGTCTGTATTTTAATTTTAAAACAATCTTATGCTAACTCATAAATTAAAACAATCACATGGTAACTCATATATGAAAACAATTTAGAAGTATCTAGGGTAAAACGTTAAAAATCTTTCCTATAATCTAAGACCACAATTATTAGAAACTTAACATTGTTAAATTCTTAGCTCTGCACATATTTTCTATTTTTATGTATACATTTTTACATGTAAATATATAAATATTTAAAATATACCTATTTAACAAAATATCATCAATTTTTTTTCAGTCTGTGTATAGATCTATTGTACTATTTTAAACAGCTGTATGGTATTTAGCTACGTATGTATCATTACATATGTATATATATTTGGTAAAATATGCATAGCATATCATTTAACATTTTAACCATTTTAAGTTACAATTCAATGGCATAAACACTATCATGTATTTCAAGTCTTTTAATCACAAATGTGCATTAGAATGTTTTCCCAAAATCTAATATTATAGAAACAATGCTAAAAAAATGTTCTCTTAAAATCATACTCCTCTAGTCTATCTGAAGGATAAACTTGTAAATCAGGATAACTATATTTTAGAATGTGCATACTAGATGTTTTGTTAAATACTCTGAAATTGCTCTCCAGTAAGGCTGAATTAAATTACGCATCAACCAATAATGTATGAAAGAATCCATTTGTGGAAGAAAAGCTTCATTGTTATTTCAATTTAAAATGTTAAAATTACTAATGCAGTTGAGTATCTTTCCATAACAACACTTGATTTGTAAATACAAAAGTTTCCTATTTACCATTTGTCCATTTTCTAAATCTTCGTTTGTCTTTTTCTTCTAGCTTTCATAGGAAGTGCTTATGGAGGAATAACTTACACACGGTGAAATGCACAGATGGCATGTGCATAGCCCATCAGTTTGACAAATGCATACATCCAAGTAATCCAAACTCATCATGATATCAAATATCCCATGACTCCAGAAACTTCCTCATATCATCTCCCATTTCATTTCTGCTCCTCTTGAAACACTGAGTATTATGTCTTCTAGCCATTTCTCCATTGCATATGATATAAACATTCTAATCTTTCACTTCATTTTTTTAATCACAATGAACTTTAAAATATGGAAAGTTCATTTTTTTGTGTGTATCTCTCAATCTTTTCCTTCTTGACTTCTGAATTTCTTTTCTTTGCTATTTTCTATCAGACCATGTTAGTATCTTTATATTTTCTTAAAATATAAAAATATCCTATATTTTCTTAAAAGGCTTTCAAAATTTTATTTGATATACACATAATGTATAAATTTGTTACACAGAAATAATCTAACTTTTCTTGCTTAATGTTTATATCATATTTTAATTAGAAGAATGAAAATTATGCAAGATAGAGGCCTAACATTTTTTCAAAATGATGTTATCTACTATTGTTTATTTGTTTTCTCTATTTCCTTTTATTTCCAGACTACCTTTTTCTCAACCAAATAAAATATGAGTGTGTTTCTTTAGGCTTTGTGTTTAGTATCACAGATCTTCCTGCCACTCTGCCACTGAATAGTCCACTTCAACCATACTTGCCTCAGTGTTCCCCAGCATGTAGACACTGAGGGACCCAACTCAGGAAGTCTGTACTTCCTATTTCCTGTACACTTCATTGAATATTCAGTTTCCTCGTGTCTGTGGTCTCTTATTTCCTTTCCACTTTGAGTTTCTGACCCATGGGTTTTTAATAATTTTTTTTAGGACAAACATAGATTTTTATATTTTGTCTGTCACTGCTATATATTTGGAGCTCAGGATGAAATTGTGGTACCAACTGACCAGAAGCTTGAATTTCTTTGTATGGTCAAACTTTTACCTTGACACTTGCATTAAACCTCTCCATTACTTCTTAAATTCCACTCCTTACTTTTTAATTTCTTTCCCTCCAACTTTATTTAGATATAAACAACATATCAAGGTGAATTTAAGGTCTAAAATTTGATGATTTGATATGCATATATTGCAAAATGATTATCACAATGAGGTTACTTAACATTTCCATCATCATATAAATTATCATTTATTTGGTGTGCTTGTGGAGAATGTATAAAATCTATCCTTTTAACTTTCACATCTTTAGTGCAGTTGTGTTAATTGTAGTCACCACACTGTAGATGAGATCTTGAGAAGTTCACCTCATATGTGGACATAAGTATCCTTTGACTAACCTATTTCTAGTTCCCCCATCCCTCAGTCCCTGGCAACTGCCAATCTATGAATTCAAGAGAAACTTTGAGATTCCACATAAAAGTGAGAACACATGGTATTTGTCTTTCTTTGACTTATTTCACTTAACATGATTCTTTCAAGGTCCAAGTCAATACATACTGTCACAAATGGCAGGATTTCCTTCTTTTTCTCTTCTCTTCTCCTCTCTTCTCTTCTCTTCTCTTCTCTTCTCTTCTCTTCTCTTCTCTTCTCTTCTCTTCTCTTCTCTTCTCTTCTCTTCTCTTCTCTTCTCTTCTCTTCTCTTCTCTTCTCTTCTTCTTTTTTTTTTTAAAAGATTTATCCACTCATGCATACAAGAACCGGGGTATAGGCCAGATCTGCAGGAGGGTGAGAGAATTCACCAGACACAGAGTGGGGAACAGAACAGGCAGACTGACCGAAATGCACTGCTGAGGGGAGCAGTGGGCGAGACAGGCGAGGTCTGCCATGCCATGTGGGTATCTCCCTGGCTGGCCAGGACTGAACCTGTGCTGCAGAGGCTGCGGACAGCTTCACAGGGCTGTGCTCAACCCATTGTGCCACCTGGGAGGCTCAGGATTTCCTTCTTTTTTCATAGCTGAATAATATATATATTTGTCTGCCATGTATAAAGTAATAAACATATAATATAGAAAAGAATATATCACCACATGCAAAGTAATATATGTGTAAATATTTATGTGTGTCTCTGTATATAACTACATAGGAAACTATTGTTTTCATTCTCCATTTATCCATCAGTGGACACTTAGGTTATTTATACGTCTCGGCCATTGTGAACAAACACTGCAGTCAATACAGAGCTAGAGAAATCTCTAGTGCCTCTCTGAGATACCGATTTCATTCCTTTGGACATATACCCTAAAGTGAAATTGCTGCATGTTATGGTAGTTTATTTTCAATTTCTTGAAGAACATCATTACTGTTTTCTATAGTGGCTGTATCAACTTACATCCCCACCAACAGTGTGTAAGAGTTCCTTTTCTCCACATCTTTGTCAGCATTTGTTCTCTCTTACCGCTTTGATAATAGTCATTCTAATAGGTGTGGGTGATCTCATTGTGGTTTTACTTTGCTTTTACCTGATGATTTGTGATGTAGAGCATATTTTCATGAACCTGTGGGTCGTTTGAATTTCTTCATTGGAAAAATGTCTTTTCAGATCCTTTGCCTATTTTAAAATTGTATGATTTGATTTTACTAATGTGTTGCATGAATCACATATTTTGGATATTAATCTTCCAACAAATATGTGGTTTGCAAATATTTTCTCCCAATCTATTCATTGTCTTTTCATTTTGTTTATTATTTAATTCGGTGTAGTCCCACTTTATTTTTGGAGTTTTTTCCCTAAGTTTTTTTCTAGGAGTTTTAAGGTTTCAGATTTGACATTTAAGTTTTTAACCCATTTTGTGTTTAGACAGGACTAAGATATGGCTTAAGTATTTATTTTTAAATTTGTATTTTAATTTTTGGGGTTGTGTTTCTGCTCTTCCATGTGTGCAGATTTTCCATGCTCCCTCCACCAAACCAAACCACAATGACAATACTCTCTCTGCCTCCTTCCTTCTTCACCTCTTCCCTCCTCCTGTTGCTTCTGGTAACCATTATATTGTTTCACTGTGATCAAGATTTATTTTTACTGTAGTTTGCCTGTGTATTTTTTTTTGTTATTTATGTTCCACAGAAAAGTGAAACCATCTGATATCTGTCTTTCACTTTTTGACTTATTTCACTTAACATAAGCGCCAAAAGTTCCATCCATTTTGTCCCAAATACCATTATATCATCTTTTTCATAGCTGTGTAGTATTCCATTGAGTAACTATTCCACTGTTTCTTTATCCATTCATCTGTTAAAGGGCACTTAGGTTGATTCCATGAATTGCAATTGTGAACAGAATTGCTATGTATATAGGCATAAATACACATTTTTGTTTTAGAGTTTTCATATTATTTGCATAAATACCTAATAGA